AAAAAAAATTACTCGTAGTATTTTTCTTAGATTATTTCGATTTACTTCGAACTTCTTCGAACACTGTTCGAGGAAAAGTTTGCCAATATTCAATTTCAAATTGCATATAATTCTAAAGGGCAAGTCCATCACTTTAGAATGGTCTTTATTTGAAGGAAATCGGCCTAATAGTTATTCAGTAATGATTTTTTTTAAGAATTTTAAATTCATTTAAATTAGAAAAAAATTAATTAGTTCAAAGTGTGTGGACTTTTTGAATATTTTTTTAGTGCATTTGATTTGTTTCACTGAGACGATATAAAATGATATAAAATTTGTCAAGTTGTCACGACATGACTTTTTTTTTCGCCTTGTGAAATAGTAAAAGTTTTTGTTAGTGAAATGGTCACAACGAGCATATCTTTATGGTCCAGTACSCGCATATTAATACCATATGTTCTTCTATGTTCTCTATTCAAGTTATCAGTGTTTCGGGTTGAGTAAATTCGCGTTTCTGCTATGATAGATGGACAGTATGGAAGGGCTTATGCACCGTCATGTCCACACCATTGACTCTCAGTTCCGGCCGGTTCTTATCATCAAGCCGATAGGCTTGACCCGCTACTAGATAAGCACCCTGATGTATTTATTATTATTATTATAACGAGGGAAGGACCACTCGGAAGCGATGATGCTTTCCGCATGTTCTTTATTGAGTGAAATRTGTTTGTAAAGCTTATTCGGAATCTAAACCCTCATAGCAAAAACGATGTACTAYCGAATTCAACTTTTCAAAAATTTTGTAGTGTAACATTTCTACAGAGTGGTTATAAATGATTTTCATCTAGCCAGCTTTGGAATTTTTTTGCATGTAACTTTATTTGTGCCGCTCTACTTTTTTGAAAGCTCTAGTGCTGTCATTAGTGTCACTTATTAATTAATAATAAATTGTTGTTAATTAAACTTTTATTGTTTCAACTAGTTTCCAATAATAATTAATAATAATGTATATTTTGGAAGAAAACAAGTTTATAATTGAAGTTTATTTTCGAAGTGGACGCTTAGTAAACGGCGATTTTTTAATTTTGAGTTAAAACAAGTAGGTACCCTTATTTTCGTAAAGCGGCATTTTTGATTTTACATGGAAAATTCACAGCTGGCTAGATGAAAATCATTTATAACCACTCTGTACGTACTTTAAGTTAAATGGTTACTAATTTTAACAGATCAACTAAACACCCTACATACGTTTGTGGTGGTTGGTCTACCAATTATTTGCAATGTAGCGTCTTTTTCAAAACATACTTAAGATTTTAGTGCTTTAAAACTAAAAATTCAAATTGTTATAATGACAGATATTTAACATTTTCACGTAGCAAGCAATATTTACTCCAATAGAACTATTTTTAACCTATTTGGTKGTTTTTCGATTTTTTGAGAAAATTTGTCGAAATAATCAAACAAAATTTTGCTGTACTAGTTTTTTATGAATTCGATAGTATTAAAATGTTTTCCATTAGTTAACAAAATTTTTGATCAAGTGATTTATGACTTTAAAATTATGTTGTCTAACTAAARTTTATTTAAAAAAAAATGTTAAAGTGTTGTCATCATGTTGGTAAAGTCTGTTTTTTTTTTAATGAAAATGCCAAACACTCTTAACGTTGGCACCACTAGTAAATTCATTCCTGGTAATTTTAATAATTTGAAAACAATGTCATTAAACTTCAACACAAAAAGGTGTATAAGGAAATTTAAAGACGAAATTTTGGAAACGAATAGTTCGCAAGCAGGAAGTTAGAAAAAGTGCCTGTTAAAATGTAGACGAAATTTGTAATGCAGGTTTAATAAACATTATCAATTTTTAGCAAGAAATTGACAAAAATACAAAATAAATATGAATGAGAAAGAACCTCAAAAAGAATGCAATTAAATTAGGGTTTTGTGCATCGTTTTTGAGGAACGAGTTGAAAAAGTAACAATTTTGAAACTAAAGCTGAAGAAAAATTTATAAAATGCATCAACTTTGAGCTCATTTCAATAAATTACACAAAATTTATTGCCAATCATCATAATACTTA